TGGGAGGCGCGGGCCCGCAGCCCCCGCGGTTGGCCTGGCACAGCGGGCTCGTTACACTCGACGGGCTAAGTGGGCAAATTCCTTCTCTCCGTGTCAGGCTTTCACCTGCATCCCAAGCTGCGCTGCAGAATATTTGGTGTCTGCCATGCATGAAGGAACTCAGCAATAATCGGCTCCATGAATCTGAACTTCTGTGATCAGAGACCATTTTTAAAAAGCAACCTTAACACGTTGGTCGCTAGTACACATTCAGTATGATCTGGTGGTTGTTTCACGTGTGCATGTCTTTAGTAGGCTAAGTCTTTATCACGCTGCGCCGGTCCAGTATAATCACATATTATATTATCCTGACAGGTCTTTGAATGCCACCCATGAAGTCATCAATGTCACCCTCCACACTACGCTGGCTGCTACTACCAAACTGGTGGTACCTACACCTGCTAAACCTATCCTTCCAGTTCAGACTGGAGTCCAAGCACAGCAAGAGGAGCAATCTAGTGGCATGACGATTTTTTTTAGTCTTCTTGTTTTAGGTGAATGATGAACTGAAAGTCTTTTAATCTCTGTTAATCGTACTCTGTATCTGAGAACATAGGCCAGCTTTCAAAATCATAGCATTTTAGTTCTCCTCAGCTTGTCTCTCTATGAAGTGGAATACTGTACAGGCACAGGGATTTAGAAAGTTGGGTATGTAACTGCGTGAACTTCCCAGGCCTGTGGAAAGCTGAGGACCATTGCAGACCTTCTGACCATGGTCTCAAAGCGCAATCAACATTTTTAGTTGTCTTTGCCTTCTCTGTCAAGCACATGGCATGTGTTCATGTACAAAGACGACAGTCAGAATACTCCGTGGTGCTTGCGGCTGTCTTTGAGGACAGTGTACTAAACAGATGCCAATTTAGCTACTTGTAGCGCTTCTGGACAGCTCTCAGATAGTTTGTTATATATGCCAATAGAAGGCAGTCAGATTTACATGCACAAGTACTAAAGTTCATTATCTGTTTTTCTGTCTCTCCTTACTTTCTTTACATTCTACAAGAGTGCGATAACAACATGCAAATTGCCATAATTTTATTAACGTTGCACATATATAGGCATTTTGAATGGCAGATGCATGCCCAACTTTTCTATAAGTCTGGGCTGTTATCTTTATTTAATAGAATATAGTTATCTCTCACCATGTGCTTAGAGCAATTCTGTAGTCAAAACTGTAACAATAACAAAACTTTCATGGAGGGTTAAGGGTTTGTCCGTTTTCCTTTGTGTGTTTGTGTGCTTGGTTCCTCCAAAGCAAGCTACACTGAGAGACTTTTCTGTGACAGATGGGTCATGTGGTCTTCGAAGTGGTTATTCTTTCCAGTAGCAAATGGAGAAAATAATAGGTGTGGACTTGACAGCAATGCAGAAACTTCTGCAAATCGTTTGGGTTTTTAAAAAAAAAAAAATTGTCTCTTATAAATACCTATTATTAAGTGCAGCAAAAAGTAGAAGGCTTCTGCTTGTTTCTGAAGTATCTATTTGTCTTCAAAGAGGGTTAATGTTTTCCCAGAGGTCAGTGGCGTATTAGAATTTGAACAGAAACAAAAGAAAGACCAAAGCAAAATGCAGTAGATCAGAAGACTTCTAAGATTAAAATAAAATTTCTGAATGTGCATGTCTCATGGATTTTAAAAGGGCTGTTCATGGTAAAATTGTATTCTTAGGACTGAAGAACAGAGCTATGATTTTTTTGGCTATGTTCCAGCCTATCTATGCCAGTCTGATAGCTTGATGGATCTTAAAAGCATCACCGTCAGAACAGGGGAGTTCCCTGAACAAAGTAAAGCCGGTATAAAAGCTTATTGTTCATAGTTACTCCCATTCATAATTTCCGATTTAAGGGTATAAGAAGGGTGAAAATGAATGTATCTACAATACTCTTAAATCTGTATGTCACAACCTGTAAAATGGCCTTTAGAATGTTCTAAACTGGAATAGACCCAGAAGCAGATCTGTTCTGAGCTGTGTTGTGTCACAGCCAAGCCATAAATTTAAAGTGCCTGAAGTAGCTTGAGTTAGTCTCTGACCCCAGATTTCTATGGCTTGTTTATCTGTTGAAACACCACTTAACTTTCAAAGTCATAACTCTCTTCTGCCATGTTCATGTGATCCATGAATTCCCTTCTGTTATATGCTTTTACTGTGCTCTTCCTTAGGGGGACACTCAAATGTTCTTTTAGCCTGTCCAGAACGCTGCTTTTTCCGGCCTCTTGCCTGATTGTTAGACTCCTGATACGTGCAAGTGCCTGGAGCAGATGATGTGCTGCCAGATACAAACTGAGCAGTCCTACACAAGGGATGGGTGACCCGACAGCTAAAGAATATACCAGGCTGCCATATATTTATGGTGGTGGGAGTTACTTCTTGGACTATGGTTGCTTTTTGTTTTATTGCCAAAGCAAAGTAGTCGAAAGCTGGTTGAAAGGAGCTGGTGATTAGATCTGCTAAACAGAAAGCATGTTTGTGCTTGCACTGGAGTTTGCTGGAACTCCGTAATGTCCAGATGCCTTTATGGGTCTGTCCCAAAGAGCAGTATAGAATGCTTTTAACACAGTAATCCTAGATGTCTTTACTGGATGCTTATTTTTCATGTTTAACAGGCAGGAAATTGATACAAAACTCAATAATACTGATTGACAGGTGAAAAAAAACTTTGCTTGGGATACACGATGAAGCTATTGCTCCCATGGTCTGTTTGGCAGTTGGCAGCCAAATGTCTGAGTTGCTTGTTAAGTCAGCTTCTGAACTGCTGCAGTTTCTAGTGCAGCATTTTAAAGTAAACACCAGTTTGAGTCTGCATTATTGTGCTGTAAACTCAGGTGTGTTGAGAACCGATGGATTGATAGCATAAAGATTGGTGGAGTGGAAGTGGGGTAAATGTGGGGGGAAGGGAGCCCTGCCAGTCTTCATGAATGGAGCCATCCCTGCTCATCGCTCTGAACCCAGAGCTTTGGCCCTGAACAAATTACCTGCCAGTAATTGAGCAAATACTACTGTTTCTCATGAGTCCTTGCTCAGTTCATAAACCCTTTCATCTGTTCACATGCACATCAATGAAATGCTCACCATATTCTGTATGAACTGGGTGTACAAGATAACCAGTGGGAGAATGCAGGCATCAGTGTGATACCCATTCCTTAGCACTGTATTGGAGAGTAGGACAGTGAAAAGGGATATTTGTATTTATGAGGTTTGTATTTCTTTTTTGTGACAGTGTATAGTAAATACAGATCATTCTGTAGACCCCAGTAGTTCACAGGCAGTGTGATCCAGCAAACCATGGCAGTGCTCAGAACTATTTGTGCACCATTTTGCACCTTTTTGGGCTGTAAATCAAAAGCACTCTTCTGAACCATCTGCGAGTGGCTGTTTGTTTTTTAGTTAAACCAAATCACTAAGAGCAGTTCCGAGAAGCTAGTTCATTCCAGAGTTCAAAACGTGTGCTGGTGTAGTGTGGCCTGGCACTGTGCTGCCTGCACTGAAATAGGGTGAGAGTCACAGACACAAGGCACGGAGTAAGGAGAACAAAGATTCCCGTTGCAGTTATGACTAGGTTTGCCAAATACGCAGTTTAAAACAGTCTCTGCTGTGATTAACAGGCCACAATTTGACTGCAGTATATAAAATGCTATTGACTTTGCTTGAGCTTCATTTGCTTTCTGAAAAAACGCAAGCAGTAATATTGCTTATATCCCAGGCCACTGCAGAATGATTTATTAGCAAATAGAGCAAAATACATATATTACAGACACGCAGGCCAGAGGTTGTTTCTTTGTTTGACCCTTTGTTGAGCTAAATTAAAATGGGAGAAGAGTTGTGGTACTTTCAATGTGGGGAACATTCAAATCAAAATTGTTAGGAATTTAATAATCCAGGATTATTTGATTCTTACAGATAAATTTCCTGTCTGTGCTAGTTCTAAAAGAATCGAGTGCTGTCTTCCAACCATATCCATGGATGGTACCCAGATCTGCTATAGATCCTTTGTAATTTGCCTTTACCATTGGCATAGAGGCTGTGATGGGATTTTCATGTTACTGTAACCTTCATTTTTGTTGTGAGAGAGAGACTTCCTCCCTGCTGGATGAACTACATTACTAGAGTACAAAATTGAATTTTTAAAAGCCATAAGTGAATGTTGCATCAGATTTAAATTCTGATTGGTTTTTAACTTCAAGCCAAGTCTGTTTTGTGTTTTTCTACACTGGTCCTTTCCCCTTATTGGTTTAACTTTTAGCAACGCTCAGCAGTAAATGTCTCTTGCTGATTTGGATAAGAATTTGGCTGATGCTTGTTACGAGAACCGGGATATTTAAACGGTTACCCATTCTGCAACGTCATAGCCCCACTGAATGGGAGTTACGGAGGCCGTGGAGGCAGACTCTTCTCAGGTGCACAAAAGGGCAAGAAGCACCAGTCACAACTTGCAACAAGGGGAATGTGGGTTGGAGAGAAGAAAATTCTTCACCATGAGACTTAAGCACTGGAATTGGGGTTGAGAGAGGTTGTGACTTCTTTCTCTTCAGAGATTTTCAAACTTGACTGGACGAGGCCCTGGGCAACCTTCTTTGACTCTGGAGTTTGCCCTGCTTTGAGCAGGAAGTTGGACTAGATGACCCCGAGAGATCCCTTCCGATGTAAATGATTCTGTGATTATCCGTTGGGGTGAAGCCCATCTGCTAGAGGGACTTGGATATGACAGCACGTAGCTTTGCAATTTTAATTGAGGCCATGCGTACATGTATGTTTTCTTTAAAAAATACGAAATGTTTACCAAAACGTTCTTAAACCAGTGTGTTCTGTATAACTGACGTTTTTTACAACTACTGCTCAGAGAAGGTTTTCTTGTAAGCTGAATCAGGCTCTAAAAGTAGTAATACTGGTATTTTTAGAGATAATTTTAAGTCCTAAGATTTGCCTTAGTTATTTTCTGCCATTTGTAGATCCATTTACATACTTCAGTGAGAATTAGGTTTGAACTAAAATTTGGTTTCTTGCATTAGTGGATTTCTACTAAATCATTAGGAGTTGTTTTGCTGCATGTATTTTAGAAATACTACTTAAAAGTATATTTTATTCTCTTCTAACACTTCTAAATCTACAATTTGTTTTTTTCCTTCACAGCTATCTGCATCATATTGGTGCATTTACTGATAAAATACCGACTTCATTTTTTACCAGAGAGTGTGGCTGTTGTTTCTTTAGGTGAGTAACCATGACGTTTTTACATTGAATTCGTGTTAATTCAGGGACTCCCAGTACTCTGTGCTTGAAACAATGCTCTGTTGTGTGTTAACCATCACTAGAAAGATGCAGCAAACTGGATGCAGTGAAGAAAACAAGCGGTTCATAGGATTAAATTAATGGAAGAAATCAAGAGATGAGCATATGTGCAGAGACTGGCTGGGTAAAATGACACATATAGGCGCTATAGGGATGTCGCTACCTAAGTACTCTGGCAGCTTCCTCTAGTTTTGCATCTGCACTGTAGGGCAAGATACTGCAGCACTCCCTGGCAGCGAGACTCTGGCCTTCCCTTTGAAGTGGTACATGCGTTTGTATGAGTTTTGGTAGAATTATGTCTGTATAAGTGATTTTAAGCTAGCTGGTGACTGTAATTGTACCCTAAAAACTTGCCTGGACTGCCAGATACTTAACTATCCCTGTAGTACCATGACAAGAGCTCTTCCTATGACTTGAGCTATAAGAATGCCACCCTTAATGAAGATCAAGTGCTACCTTAATTTGAATTAAATCTGGAGTATTCCTAAGCCTGTAGTTTTATGTTAGGATAATTTCATTTCTTTGTATGCTGTTGCTCCTGATTTATAACGTGTAAATGAGGAGGAAATCAGGCCAAATATATTTACTATTTTCTCTACATACTGTCTAACATAGTGTTTAAAGAACCTGGTCTAACTAATCCCAGGAACAGTTTTTCAGCTGTCTCTGTAACTTGTTTACAAGAATCTGTGATATTTTTGCTTCTATTACTAGTGACACTTTCACTGACAGCCATTCTAAAAATACAACAGAAAGAGAAAGATGCTTAGCTGTAATTCTAAGGTAGTGTGGAGGAGTGTAATACTTGTTGAGCAGGTAGATTTTGTCTTTCTCCTGGTCTTTGCCTGTTGTACTCTGGTACCTTCTTCTCTCATATTCCTTAACTGTATTTTCACACAATTTCTCAGTGGGAGGAAATAAGCTTTCTGGTGCTTGTCAGTACCTTATGCTTTCTGGAAAACAGGAATCTTCTTGCATCTTGGGTGCTAGATTGAGAAGATCTCAGAGCTGTTACTTAGCAGAACGAAAAATGCATTTTCCTGCAGGCGTGACTCCTTGAATTTTTAGATAACTCTGTATGATGCAGACCGCATCACATTACTAGCGTAGTAGAAGGCATTGAAGCTTAAAGAGATACTCACTTGCAAGGCCCTATTTGAGTTTTGATATTACTGTGCAGCTGAAAAACAAATAGACCTGTAAGAAATCTGTTGTAGTGCTGGTATGGATTTCCTGGGTATTGCATGCACACCTCATCTTTTTAGGAGCAGTATCCATCAGACTATTGTGCGTTTACGCTTCTGTCTGCCATAGTATGACATAGGAAGATCAGAGCTGCTGCAGATCATCCTGACTTACTTTGTCATCCCCATAGAAACCATGCAGTGTTTGATTCACTGTTGACACACTTTTCTTTCCTTCCCCTCTTACATTATTGTCGTGGATGGTTGAGATGTAGTATATCTTCCAGTGTCTTGAAAGGTTCCCAAAGGACGTTACTATGCCTTCAGTAGCTGCCTTCTTTGTACACAAAAATCCAGGTGAAAGGTGTTAATTTGGCTTCTAATCAGGTTAGTTACCATTGTTACTAAATAGCTAATCTAAATTTAAGCCTAATCCTCAATTAAAATGTAGCAGTATATTGAGTGCTCTTGCTTGTGTAGTTTTGGATTTTCTTTACTATCATTCCTTATATTCTGTCCCGAGCCAGCTGCTGGGCAGTGCTCAGCTGAGGTGTTAGGCAAGCTTGCATCGCTGCTCCTGCTGAGCTTTGCAGAGAGCAGCAGAGGCACAGACATTCTTCTGTTTCTTATTCTTGACATCTCAGCAGCAGGACAAGGATTTTAGCTGTGCTGGTATGTTCTGCGCTCCTGTCAGTCCCAATAAAAGTTTGTTCATGGTAAGTTTTTGTGCTGGGGCTGTCACTGCTGCTCTCAAGATGGGTAAGAAGGAGCAGCAGTGCATCTCCTGTATGTGCATGTAGAGGGCATGTAGGAAACTTGCACAGTTCAGTTTTCGGTGTGAATCACAGCATAGCTGTAGTCTGCCTCCCAAACCAGATGAGATGGTACCAGCAGATGCAATTCCACTGAGTCAAGAGTGTGTTATATCCAGTAGCAATCCAGCTAACATGTCCTGTCTCACTTAAGCCTTATTTATTTAGTTTATTGACTCAGCCATATTTAAACTACTGTCAGCTCTGTTGACAGGACACGGCATCTGTAATAATTAGTGGAATTGCCAATTAATTACTGGTCAGTGAACCTCTATTACGGGTAATGATCTACACGGCTGCAAGAGCACAGCTTATGTTTCAAGTATCCAGTTTTGCTAGCAGTGCCAGAAGTGAGGTGTGTCCTATTTTGATTGTAAATTAAGCAACTGTTCTCAAGCAGTTATTGAAAGCTAATAAAAATGGCAGCAGAGACGAAAGTATGGTTTTCACAATTGTTTTTCCTCCTACTGTCTAAGCTGTTCGGAAGCTTCTCTTTCACAGTTCTAGGGAATTCCTGGTGGGCAGGGCGGGAGTGCATTCTCTAGGGCTGGATTTTGATCTTTGTCCTTAAAAGTTACTGGAATGTTGTTGGTAAAAATAGTTGCCAGGAAAGCTTTTCCTCTTTGATTTGTTACTGAGTTTTAAGATGTTCTCAGGAAAAATAGAGGTTGGTTTTAATAAGAAAATTCCTATAACATTTTCAAAAGAATGAGGCTTAGATTAACTCTTACAGATCTAGCTTTCCAATTAGCCCCTTGACAAAACTGATCTACATGATTTAATAGATGGAACCAGCTGAACAAAACATGCTTTCATTTAATCTGGTAATAAAAGATGAGTACTTTGTAAAGATGTGTGGGAGAGGTTTTAAAAAACAGCATCAAAGTTTCGTTCTGCTGCTGTTAAAGCCTCTTGGTGATGCATTATTTTGCGCAGCCCTCTTTCATGACTTTGCTTAGCATAATCTTAGTTTAGCAGTACTGTTGTGTGTGATATACAGCTAGAAGTAACTTGTGCTGTATAAAGGTGTAAGTTGTATGATTCAGGCTCATTCTTTTCCCTTAATGTCTGCTGTTGCCTTACATTTATATTGTTGTTCATTTAACTTTTGATACCGTGAAAGGGCCTTGTCTGTCCGTGACACTGTTGTTAGGGTCAGTTTGCGAGTAGCTCTTCCTCTATAAAAGAGATTGAGACCAGCCTTTTACTTAGGCCCCTTGAGCTTATGGGATAGCGATGCCCAGCTTGTGGCCCCCAGCCCATGCCTGGCCTACGCACAGGGGTCCAGTTGCACAAAATCGTGCTGGAGCCCTTTCACTTCAGCAGAAGTGAGTTAAGGGACTCTCTTTTCTTATAAATCCCCTCTAAACATAGTTTTATATGAGGGCTGTCAATACTGATTCATAAAATACTGGGAAGTTTGTTCAGGAAGCGTACTTCCTGAAGTCTGTGCCTTCAGATGTATAGGCTCTGGTTGTTGTTTATTTTTTCCCTGCATAAACTTCTTGTTAAATGATACAAGCACTGCCTGTACCAGTTGAAAACAGTGTTGCTGTGCTGCAAACATTAGAAATGTTCTAGTCCTTTTCTTCTGACACAGCTTCCATCCCAGAATGGAAAGCCTGACTGTTAGGAGAGACCTGTGTTTATATGGCATGTGAGTGGCTGTATCTGCATTCTGTCCTCCTTCAAAGAACAGCAGACCTTTGATGTTCATTCATTAATGTTTTGCTCTTCCTTTCCGTATAAACCATTTCATGGAACAATTATTTGTTGAGCAATATGGAACAATCTGTCCTCTGGGACCAATGCCTTCACATATTTTTGTATGAAAGAAGGCTTAAGCCTCATGGCTTTGTGTGTATGACACATCCATCAGCAGTAATCCATGTGATGCTATTTGTAAGACTCTTTTGATAGCTAGAGCATGAGAGAATAAAAACACATGAGTTACCAGAAAGCATACTTTAAGCTTCTCAGCCACTTTTTACCTTTCATTCAGTGTATTTCACTTCTACGTCCCAGTGTTTGACTATGAAGTCTCCATTCTGTAAATAATAAAACACAACTATGCAGAAACACAGATCTGGAATCTGACTAAAGACAAATTCCTCATAACTCCTTGAAAGCAATTAATGACAGTTCATGAATTATTGTCATGACTTTCAGGAGAAATCTTCTTGTTAGTTTGGAGTTTTCTGTCTTATCTGTTTGAAGATGTATAGGAGGAAAGAGCATGATAATCTTTAACCACTGAGTTTGCAGTACCCTTAAAAAAATCTTTTATACTCAAATTAGTATTTCTAGATGTGTAATTAATTTGGGAAATAGTTCTGACAGTGTCTCCACCCTGATCAGAATTTGTTGCCTACTTCATTGCCATTAAGTACTATGAATTCATTGAGGCAAAATTCACTTCGGAGAAGACTGATTTTGCATAAGCTGTGTTAACGCTGAAAATAGCATTGAAGTGACATGAAGGTTTTGTGTTGTCACACAGATATCTAACTCTTAACTTCCTGATTCTTTAGCAAGAAAGGTGGAATTTGATTGGAATGCAGCTTAGATGGAGAAGCTTTTTTGAGTAAACCTTTATGAACCAATGAACACAGCACTCTCAATATGCGTGTTCAGTATTTGGATATCCCAAGTGACAATCCTCTGTGTAGGGTAGCTTGGTAATTATGGAGACTGTCATATATTGGACCACACCCACTTTGTGTTTTTGTGATTTAGGAATGAAAGACTTGCTGCTTTATGTTTTGCTTTGTTTTCACTTTTAAAACTTTGTTGACTGAGAGTTGATAAACAGTTAATGGAAACGGTGTGTTTTGTGAATGTTTCAGAATGTTATCTCCTTCTCTCCTAGGTATCCTTATGGGAGCTTTTATAAAAATCATAGAGGCTCAAAAGCTGGCCAACTGGAAGGTATATTTGAAGCAATTAATTTCTAATTGTAGAACAATCCTTAAATGTTTAAAATAAGACTGTTTGTAATATTAGTTTCTTTAGATGTAATTTCCAAAAACTTACGTATATTGTACTTGATGCCGAAGTTTGGGATTTTTTTTAATAATACAACCAATTTGAGGTCTTGATCATGCTGAACATTTTCTACACAGTATTTTTCTACTCTAGTAATCCTTTTTACAGTACCAAATCTGTTCCTATTAGATACATGGTAGAAGAAGGTACTGGGCATCCTTGGGATCAGTTACAGTAAGAAAAATAGCGATTCAATTATTTGTCTTGTATACTTTTTGACTGTATTTAGTCCTCTTCCTCCTTTTGGAGTTAATTTTGTAGGTGTTTTATAGAAAAAAAATGTGTTTTGATAGGTTGTAAAGTCACGTGTTTTACCTGAAGATGTTAACATAGATTTCGCAGAGGTAAAAAGGAGCACTTCTTCAGAATAGCTGTGCTAAAAGTCATGTTATTTACTTATTTTATTTACTTAAAACTGCAACAAATTGTGGTGCTAAGAACAGACAGTTCACAAAGCGATCCATTCAGCATGGCATGTTTCTTGGGTGCTCCATTGCTTCTTGTGGAAAGACTGCCAAAACCAGGGTGCATGAAGCAGCAGCATTTTTCCCGCTGGCTGAGACAATGGAAACATGTTTTGAGCTTTATTTCCAGCAGAAAATACAGGCAAAGCTTCTGTGCAGAAGCTTGTCCTTGTCCTGGTGCCCGGTGCTTTACGGACTTATAAAGAAGATGCTAACAGTGATGGCAAACAGACATAGGAACATGTGACCAGAGAGATTGTGGGAATCTCCATCCACAAAGATATTCAAAACTTGGCTGGATAAAGCCTTGAGCAGCTGGAGTTGCCCTGAGTTGGCCCTGCTTTAAGCAGGGGCTTGGATCAGACACCTCCAGAGGTCCCCTCCAACCTGAATTAGTGTGTGATTCATTGCTGTCTGTGCATGTGTGGAGTTACAGAGGCTTTCCCAGGGAGGGAGAATCCTGGTAGAAGTATCTCCAAGAGGTGAAATCTACAGTGAAGCAAGGATTTTGTCTCCTACAGTTTATCCACATCATCAAAGCAATGAACTCTTCACTATTCCTGCTTTAATTTAAAATCCTGCAGTATTTAAAATGTGATTCTGTTTCATGGGATCAAAGTTTATTAGGATTAGATCAGTGAACTGATTGAAATCACAGTGATTTGAATCACCAGTTTTAAACAGGATTTATAGTAGCAGGCTGAAAGTCTTGGTCTGAGTAGTGAATTTTAATCCTAGCTTGCAGCTTAATATTTCTTGGCAGTTATTTCCCTAAAGGAAGATTTTTTCTTTTCTCCTTAGTTGAAATACATTAAAATGCATAGATTTTCAATCAGATGTAGCTTTACAATTACATATTATACTACTTCTTTTGTCGACTAACTACACTGATGCTGTGTACATTCATTTAAGCAATTACATAGTTCAAGAGTAATGGTGTGATATTTCATTTTTACATATTTACTTATTAGAAACAGGGGGTGGTGCATTAGGTAGTGTTTTTCCATTCCTGATTTGTGTCAACTGGATTTGATTTAAAATTCAGAGTCAGTTAAACAGCCACAAAATCAGCATTTTAAAATAGCTTCTTATTGGTGAAATAAAATACTCTGAAGAAGATCCTGTATGTAGGAAGAACAAAGAAAGCTTAAAGTATGCTCTGATTTGAGCACTGATTCTATAAACACAGGAAATACTGACTGTAGCTAGTGAATTCTGTAGTTTATTTGTGGTAAGCATAGGTCAAATCTTGGGCGGTACCGGGGATGCTGTATCTGGTTGCTCACGTTATCAGCTAAGGTGAAGGGTCACAGATAGCACATTATTATTTGCTTATTTAAGTTACTTTCACTGTATTAAAGCTTAGGTTTTAACATAGACTGTCAAAATTTCAGATGTGAAATGTTCTAATCAATAATTATTATGTACTTTATAAAATGGTTTTAAATGTTTTTAAATTTGCTAGAGAATTTTTGTTTATCTGATACGGAAAAAAAAATAGAATATTTAACTGCAGGCTGTATCTATGTACAAAGCGTATCTTGGATCATATCCCTGCCCTAAGAACTTTGTAATGTAATTTCTTGCAATCCTGCCTTCCTAAGTCTTCAGTGTGCCTTGTACTTGCTGGTGATTCTTGCTGGCTAGCGTGGCTGATAACTACAGTCCTCACGTTTTACTTTCCTGGTCTCTGCTTCAATGCAGCAGAAATGCAGTCCTTCCTTTTCATTATTTCTCACCTCCTTGTCCAGCTCTGCCTTCAGGGGCTTTTAAACAGTGTAATTAATCAGGTCTGTGGGTTTTTTGTTCTAGCACAGTTACTGTATTGACAGAAACTAGGCAGCATTAGCCATCGAGGCATGGAATTGTGCGTGCAGAATAATGGACTAAAGCATTTCAGTATAAAGGATGAGTTTTATTTTCTAAGTCCCCCAAATCCTTTAAGATGATTATTGCTGGTACAGACAGGAATGAGACTTTAGAGAGATGAGTACTTCTTTTTCGAAAGCTGGTGTTTTAACAGAACAGTCAATCAGCTGTTTTAACCTGTATTTAAACAAATTAGTTGTTGCTTACGAAGGTGACAAGTTCTGCTGTATTCAGAGCTGTGGGGACCAGGAGGGGGCCTGGTGGGTACGGAGGGAGAGGCACATTCAGCCCTGATTAATTTGCCTTCTGTGCTTAGTCTGCCAGCAGAAAAAAACAGGGTGCCAGTTTGAGGGTACAACTCCATAAAGCAGTGTTAGCCAAGTGATGAGAAAGGCGACAAAGAGTAAGGTCACCAAAAATTAACATCTTGCTTCGCTGTAGGTTTCATTTCTATCACTCTGATGGTAAAAAGGAACCATCAGAATAGTACCATTAAGTTACAGGCATAAATTACTTTTGCCAAGAAGAGTTAAGCCTCAGACTCTTAACAGTGGTGTATACCTTGAGCCTCTCACTTGCAAGTGTACTAAGATGATGATCAGATTTCTTCTTGTCAGGTGATGAGTTTTGTAGTGAAACTGAACTTGACCATGGTTAACCTAGATTATATTCAAACCAGTGGCCAAGAGGTCACCATTCCTTGACAGTCTTTACAGATTTTGAGACTGTGAGATAAAATGGGAATACTTTTTATGGAAACAGAAAGACTTCTCCTTTGCCATAAATAACCTATTTTCTGTGCAGTTTATTTGGAGACAGTAATTTAAAATAGGTAACGCCTAGATTTTTATCACTGGATTAAAAAAAAACCAATAGAAGTAGCAGCCCTAGAGTAGCTTACTTTCTTCAGTCTTTTATTTTGTGATAAGAAGGGAGAAAGATTAATGCCATTTTCATTTTCCAACTTTTTTTTTTTTTTAAATAATTTCTCTTTTTGGAAGATTTGATGTTATTTCAATAATTATGATATCCTTGAAATTAAAGTTCTTTTTTTTTTTTTTGCAGGAAGAAGAAATGTTTCGCCCAAATATGTTTTTTCTGCTTTTGCTTCCACCTATTATATTTGAATCTGGATATTCATTGCACAAGGTTAGCCCCTGCCACTCATTTTACATGTTGAGGTTTTGTTTGGAACACATTCTGCTTTTAGTCAGCTTCATGAAGTTTAGAATAATTGCATTAAATTCCATCATATTAATCATTAGGGAATTGAGAATGCAAAATTCAAGCCTCTTCAACCCAGAATGCAGGGAATGTACCTTGTTACTGTCAACTGAATGTTGGCAAGGTGTTAGGTACCACACAGAGATTGTTTGCCTTGGTCGGAGAGGTTTCTTACCTCGTCGGAGTTGTGCAAGGGCGGATGTGAAGGAGGCAAGATGGGAAGAAGTAGGATCAGAAATGGGAAAGGTGGGGTCACTCCATGGCTAAAGAGGAGGAAAATGTTTACAAGGGTTTTCACCCTTTGCCTGGGAGCCTGTGTTTCATGGACATTTCTCACAGCGCTCGTCCTGGCTGAAGTGGTCCTGGTCCTCCCTGTGTGCTGCCTTTCTACTTGAGCTGTGCGGCAGGAGAGGGAGTGAGCGGCGGGTGATGGTAATGTCATGAACTGGTACCAACACTGAAGGCTTTTTTCATACAAAATCACAAGAAATGGACTAGCAACTGAGCAGTTTACAAGCCTTTTTCACATGTCCTGTCTACAATAGATGGATTAATTTACAGTTCTGTCAGGTGGGGAGTGTGTCAAAGTGCTGGTGAATATCCAGCTGTTTGTCTGAGGATTGGCTTGTTGTTAGGGTACCAGACTGACACCCTGTCCTGGGTGTCGGAGGGGTTTGCTCTTGTCCTCAAGAGAGCAGGCTCTTTAGGCAGATGGTGTGGATGTATGTCCTGGGGTACTTGGAACCAAACTAATGAAGCTTTATTATTGGAAACCCAGTTGTGAATCAGAATCTAATTTAGATGCAAACCCAAACATGTGTTTTTCCTCAGATCACTTTCACTAATTTACTTACTTTATTATTGTGTTCCAGGGTAATTTTTTTCAGAACATTGGTTCCATCACTCTGTTTTCTGTATTTGGCACTGCAATATCAGCTTTCATTGTAGGTGGAGGAATTTATTTCCTGGGCCAGGTAAGAACAACTGCTTTGAAGCACTTAAATTTATCTGGCTTGCTCTTTGAAAGTCCATTTTTTCAAGGCGGACAAACATAGTGCAAGTGAATTCCTGGGTCACAAAGTCCAGTTCTCTGCTATCACTATTTCTAGTATTAAACTTATTTGTTCTTCTGTCAATAACTTTTTTTGCTTCTCTGCTTTGGGGTTTTCCCATTGATTAGAAACAGACATAGATAATTATATTTTCTCTCAGACTTCATGCTGGTAGGGCAAACAATCATGGATTTCCTCTTTGCCTGTCAGATTGCCATTCCTTTGAATGCCTTAGTTACTCTACGTGCCTGTGTCTGTCCCAGTTTCATCTGGTCTTCCCTGATTTTGAGTGACCAGAATTGTAGCAGTAGATCACTGTTGGAGGGCAGTGTTAGATTGGGTAGCATCGCTACTGTGATTTTTTTCATTATAACGAAATTAGGATTTGATTAATAGTTTCATTTTTTTAAAACAGCAGAAAAACACAGTTGATTGTGGTTTTTTTTTTTTTTTTTTTTGTGTTTTACCTATTCTTTCAGGCTGATGTAATTTATAAACTCAACATGACAGACAGGTAAGCTCTTGGGGAATGGTGTAGTATATGAAATGAAGCATTCTTCAAGATAACTATATATGGGAAATGCACTGTAGCTGGCCAGCTCTTCTGGTTATTGTTTAGACTGCTTAGATTCAACATGGTGTATGAACACTTCTAAACTGTATTTATTGCAGCCTTATTTCCAAATAGTATTCTGTGCTCAGTGATTTTTCTAGACAGGAAAGATGCTGGGTTTTCTAACCAACCTTTAAAGTTAAAATAAGTAGCCTTTGATTAGCTGGTATTATTAATATATATGATAATGGCATAACTTCCTTGTCCAAATCTTCTCTTAAAAGACAGAATGAATTTTTCAGTATCAATAATGTAGACTTTTCAAGAACTTGGTAAAGGATCTAATCAGGTTTTTAGGAGTACCCCACCCTACCATTAAATAAAGTTCATTCCTGGTTTATTTGGGTTTTTTGTTTGTTTGTTTATTGTATAGCCAATACAGCACTTTTCTGTTAAAATCCATAAATAAATTGGGTGGCAAGCAAGAAACATAACAAGTAAAACATGCAGGAACAGCAAAAATCTTCCTTACTTGGTTCCAGTGTTTGACTTTACGCAGCTGAGCAGTTCCATTGCCTCTGTATTGTCTATCTGTGGATTCCAAAGTAATGAAGTTTTAGTAGTTCCCTTTAAATGTTCCTCTCTAGTACTCCTGAACAGGTGACACTATGCATGATACATGGTTTGGGCTGTGTCTGTAAAGTTGTTTGGTTTCCTCTGATTTTTTCTTATTTAGTTGGATTAAGACTTTGATACTGTTGTTGAGAGATGGGAGATAGATATTTCTCCAACACGTCTTCCAGCTGGGGAATAACTTTACTCTTTGATATATCAGTAAAAGAAAAACATTTCCCTTTAGTCACTACAAGTTCTTATGAATGGGAAGAGAGCATAACTTTTCACTGTGTAGAAACTGTAACACATAATGTCTTTGTTACTAGTTGTTCATATAAGTTTACTAGGTACATACTTTTCTTTCATCTAGTTTTCTTTTCTGTTTTGTGTTCTCCCAGTTTTGCATTTGGCTCTTTAATATCTGCAGTTGATCCTGTGGCTACTATTGCCATTTTCAATGCCCTCAATGTGGATCCCGTACTTAACATGTTGGTTTTTGGAGAAAGCATTCTCAATGATGCGGTCTCTATTGTCTTGACCAAGTAAGTGCATTTGAACTACATGCGTTTATGGAAACAGCAACCACGTTATTTTCTGTTAATTAGTTATTCAGATATACAGTAATTCTTCCATCTCCATTTGGAACAAATCATGTATTTCTGGTGTAAAGCTGAATTTTGTATGATCCTTTGTTAAAAGCAATCCATAACATAAACTGCATAGGCAGAGAGAGTAAATGGATGTCTTACTACCACTACCTCTGTGCCTCATCTCATTGACCCCAGATAACTGATTGCTTTCTAAGTCCATACGTTTACCAGCTCTCTTTCCATCTGAGGGTCCTGACAACAGAAAACCAACATGTGTCCTTTCAGGCTTGCACAAAAATATTTACCTTGCCAAATACGCAACTGTGTCTCCTGTATCATTGGCTTATACCGAGAGTCACGCTTCAGTTTGGGGGGCGTGAGGGAGATACATCAACATCCATGCAATAGTTTTATATTTATGTTAGGGCTATCACAGGGGAAAAACAACATCCAATATCCTTATCCTTTGCCCATGATAATTCTTTGGGGCTGAAAGAGTAAAAAAAATAATAGATGTATCTTCATGTTATTGCTGAAGTCGATAGACCTGACTATGAATGTATAGAAGGAGCAGATCTACTAAGAAGGTAGTGAAGTCACTCATTTTTCAGTGAACTAATTGCTTTTAATGCAGTCATTGTTCTTTTACGGAAGACCATAAAGGCTAACAGCAGTCAAAAGGAATGCTAGTTAGAATCCATGTCGTCTTTGCATGGAATTCTATGAAATAGATTCCTTCCTGAAATTGAGAGACTTCTCCCCTTTCCTCCTAAGAGCTTCTTTGTTTTTCTTCAGTGACCTTCCTGTCTGTCATCCACACTTAAATATTTGATGGGAGGTCTTCCTGTTCATTTGTTCTTCTCTGAGCATCACATGATCCGTCTCTTCTTTTTCATGCCCTGAGTTTTTACCACTGCAAAATGTGTTTTCTTCTCCTTTTCAAAGTTTGAAAATTGTTTTGTAATACTGGGCATTATCATAGCCTATTTATGCCATTCTGGGGATTCTTCAGAAGAGCAATGCTGGATTTCCAGATTTTTAGCAGAATTAGGTTTCCCTTTGGGGATTACACTAAGACTTGATTTAACATCTTTTGACATTCCTCTTGTTATATATATCACAGTAAAAGCCTTTTAAGAGTGGTAGCAGCAAAGAAATGGAAGTTGTCTTTGTTGTTGTTCTCAAAAGATGCTTGGTATTTTTGGATCCAGGCTTAGAATTTATAACCGTTTCTTTTTATTCACTTTTTAATTATATCTAGCACAGCAGAAGGTTTGACAAGAGAAAATATGTCAGATGTAAGTGGATGGCAAACCTTTCTACAGGCACTGGGATACTTTCTTAAGATGTTCTTTGGCTCTGCAGCGCTTGGCACACTTACTGGTCTTATTTCTGCATTAATATCCTTTTTTAATATTGGTGATATACATGTATAAATTGGTGAACTTCAGCATTCTAATAGTATTTTTCTTTTTCCGTCTTCTCCAGCATTTCTTAGAGGATATTTCTTATTAGACATTTTGATGGCTGAGGATTTTCTCATGCTCATTTTGGTTTTACGTTAGTGTGCATGGGTACATATTAAAAAGTTGCATCACATTTTTATGAACATAATTAAGGTCTGAAATGCTGTATAGTAGCTTATATTACGTGCATTGGAGTGTTATAAAATATGGTAATTGTTTTGTAAATTCAAAATGCATTCATTCCATTTCAGTACTGATCCATTTTTACAAGCATATGGCTCCTTTTTTACATACATAAAACAGTTAATTAAAAAGAAAAAAAAAAAAAAGCTGCTTTTCCCGAGGGCTTTTGAGTCAGACCAGCTCATTTGTCCCTATGTATCGTATTCAGGCAGCTGAATACAGATACTGTTGTGTTTGGATTTGTGTTGAGTTATATTTTGCCTTTTCCACTTCCATGAATTGGTTGCTAAACAACCCAGAAGCTTCTCTGCTGATATAAGGGTGTTTGTTGTAAGTCAGACACCTTTGTTACTTTTCAGAGCTTGTTTAATGTTAACATTGACTTCACTGTAGGTAATCTTTTGTGCTAGGCTTGCACAACAGTTATTCATGTCATCTGGGACATGCTGTTAAGCACTTTGTGAATAACAAGAACAGAGTGTTTGATTGCATATAGACATATTTCTTCTCTTGGTTCGTTAGCCTGATTCCATGAACTTTTAAATTATTCCATAGATCATAACAAAAGAGGGAGACAGATGTTCAACACTTCTTTCACTGATAGCTAAATGTTGTTAAGACAAAGAGAAAAGCAGCTTATTTGCCCTATTACGGTTATTTGTGCCTCAAAGTATTGGATTCACCCTAAGCATGCAAAATTTCAGTGCAGCAAAGGACATATCTTATTAGTTGCCAGCAGATAAATATAGTTGAAGGTTGTTGCTGGTTCATGACCCAGGAGGAATGTGAACTTCCATGTCACATCTAATCCTCTGAATTTTTAACAAAGATAGTAGGTGGAGTATTTTAAGTGTTAAGGCAAGGATGTGATTGAAGAAATATCCTCACTGTTAATATTACTGCAAATCTGTCCTATCCATTTGGAAGTAACTAGAAGTCTAGGGACTGAACAGAGAAGATTGCTTGCGTGCTTAGTGTGGCAAATAACAATGTCTGAGGCAAAATCCACTTGTACTTGGCAGCTGTGCTACAGAACTGTGCGCAAGATGCAAAGCAGAACTTGGGGCCCTTGACAAATGTCCATGTTTATGACCACAAATGTAAAGTTTTAAATGTCTTGAGTATCAAAAGGACATTATTTTTGTTCAAACATAAATGAGAGCTATTATACTTTCAATTTGCTGTTTCATAGCTCTCCCCTATTTTTAGAAAAGCCTTTACTATGTAATGATTCTCTGTGGATTTTTTGCACTAGTTTTGGAGCAGACATTTCAAAGACTGAACGTGT